GCTTAGGGAGAGAAATACAGTACAGTGGCTTGCACCTGAAAGCATGGGGCAAAAAAAACGTTAACCAGGCGCTTCCTCCTATGTGCCAGGATTAACGCACATCAGCCTTTCTATGGATACTGAATGGAGACAGACAGACACACACCTTTCTAAAATCCAAGTGTTGATCAAGGCTAGCCACAGAGAAAAAGACAGTCAAGTCAAACGCATAGAAGCATATCCACGTGCAAACTTTCCTGCCTCAAAAAATGGCTTCAGTCTGCCACCTCTTAAGCTGTCCCAGCAGCCAGGCCCACCCAAAGCTAGCCCTGTCCCCCGAGCAGGCAAGCTGGCCTCCAACAAGGATCTGTGCCCGTTTCATCAACACAGTTAGAACTGATAAAGCGCAGACGTCCCTAAATTCCAAATCTGTCCAGCCACACCTTATTAATCAAAGTGTGTACTATGGGATAAGAGCCCATTTTATCTCCTTAGGGGGTGTCTGAAGTGAGGACTAAGGAGCCTTTTAGATGCAATTGATTTTCAAGGGTGTCCCTTGGCATATTAAGATGGCTCATCTGCCACTCTTGGTCATTTGCTTATTGGTGGCACCCATGGTATTGTCTTACTTGACAGAGCAAAATGAGCTTCGGAACTGAGATATGTCCCCAGAAGGAAATGCAAGGACAGAAGTAATTGTCAGGTTCATAGGAGCATCTTTCTGAGAGAAAACCCTTCCCTAAATCACTTCAATCTGAGTTTCAAAGAGAAGCTTCCCTCAGGCTCACTCTAAAGCCAGACAGGGGCCAAAGGGGTGGGGACAAAGGTTGAACGAATGCCCCCCAGAGCCTCCTACCCTTCGCTTTTCCTCGACTTTCTGTCATCGTGGGGCCTGAGCGCTCCACGGAAATGCAAAGCATGATTCGCATTGCTAGAAAGCAGCTGAAACAGAGTCCCGCTGTGCTTAATTCGGGGCACCCCAGATTAAGAAATCCCATTGTGCAACTTGCAAGATTTCAGTAAACAGGAGAAAGACAAGGGGCTCCTATGGCAGCTATTCCCACCTAAAGCCAATCCTCCCAGGAAGGGTTGCTTCTAACTAATGAGCACTAAGGATGTACCATGCACAGAAAATGTCCCTGAGCTTGTCACATTGCTAGCACCACTGTGCAGAGCAGCTAAGCACTGTGGATCAGTGTTTCTCTGCAGGAAGGGTCTGCTGACATCTGGAGCCGGCAGTTCTTGGTTCTACAGAACTCTCCCCCACGCTGCATGATGTCTACTGTCCCAGGCCCCTGTCAACTAAATGCCAGTGGCTTCCCCTGTCATTGTAAAGCTTGGAGAAATAAAAACCCTCCTCCGTGTTCAAATGACTTCCTGAGAGGGCAGGACCATGTGGCTTGAATATCACTGTCTATTGCAAGCTGAGGTCTTCCTGAAAGAAGTGTCTGTCCCAAAACATCATCTCATTGACCCCCGAAGAGCTGTCCTTTCTCCTCCCTCCTTCATCTTCCAAGCCCTCCACTTTGGTCAACTGTAGATTGTCGGTTCTTCAGGAAGTGGGCGACCGTGGCTGTTCCACTGGACAAAGAAATTTGCCCCAGTCCTGGGCATATTTCAAGGGGAAGGCTGACATAACACAGAAGTTTGAGGGCCA